TGTTCGCCTAGTTTCATGCATTTTAATAAGATTTTTTTAAAAGATTTATATACCCGACATTTAATTTATATCTATTTACATGTATAATACTTATGTTATGGCTCATATACTATATAAGGAACAGATGCTGGAACGAAGCGAAGCAGAAGAATTTATCCAATCGGGGAAGTTTCGTTACGTGGTTTGGGGGTGCGGGGACAACGCCTCGCGGTACCTTACATGGATAATTTGAGAATTACATATTGTACTCCAAAGTTTTCTCTAGGGTTATGTATAGACCTATTTGTAACTCTAGGTTATTCTATTCTGTACTCTGTAACATTTTCTGAAGTTGAAAGAAAGCCGCCGCTTTACTCTCAAGGACGCAGACATCTTTGCCGAACCTCGTTAAATCTCTGTGTTTTCTTTTGGATTTGTGCCCATTCTTATTTTTCTTCGCCTAATTTCTCAACAATTTTCATTTTATTTTTTACATATGTATCTTCTTATCCATGTATGATAAATATCTATTTCACTTTTAAAAAATGAACATATATTTTTGATGATATATTTTTGATGTGATATGAATGATTTTGATGATATAAATATACAAGTGAATTTTAGATCTTATATGTGTAAGAACATAGGAATTGGGTGGTATGTAAGAACAGTAATACATAAAAAGTAATACATAAAAAGGCAGAGATCCCTAAGCTCTCTTTATTATATTAAAATATTGCAATGTTCAATAAAGAAGAAAATCTGAGCGAGATTCTCTTGACATTAAAGTCTACCCAACGGCAACCCACAGTTTTAAATGGGAGTTTTAGGACCACCAGCTGAATTATGGCACATGGCATTGTCCTTTCTGCGTGCTCGTCCGGGGGTGATTTGGCTTCAGCTATGAATTGAACATACAAAAAAATGCTTAGTAGATACTATATATGGGCATTTGGGTCAATGCCACACAATTTTTATGTATTTATATATCTAACATTTACATGTTTGATGCTCAAATCTTTAACATCACATCAAAATTATCACCATCATTATCATGTGACACAATTTAAATACTGTCATTCATATTTAAACACTGCTATTGTCGGATCCCAAGTCCCGGATGTGAAAATTGGAAGGTTGTGTTAAGTAGTCGACAGCCAGCGTAAAATTTGTCGACAAATCATAACATGAGGCTAGGGTGTCCCCTGAAAGTTGTGTACTGTATGGTCTAAATACAGTGAAAAGTTTGCAAGGGCCGCTACACCGATGCTTTGATATAGTGTTAAATATGTAAGAGTTCCCACATTACAGACAGATGCGGGTGAAGAAATTAATCTTTGAAACTAATATTATAATAGAATATGAAAATATATGTACTTTCA